TCCCCCTTTTTTTTTTTGTTCCTTTTCTTTTTTTTACTGTACTTCATGTTTGTACCCGTCCACCATTCAGGGAATTCCTCAAGCTGTACTTCCCCCGTTACCAAAGAGGCCTGCGCTTGAAAAAACCAATGGTGCCACCGCAGTCTTTAACACTGGTATTTTCCAATACCAGCAAGCTCTTGCCAACATGCAGTTACAGCAGCATACAGCCTTTCTCCCACCAGGTAAGTGCCCTTTGTTTGCCTCTTGCTGGGGAGGGAGAAGGGGGAGTTCTGGAAATAATGCAGTAGGGAAGAACAAAGTTCCTGGCGGCAAACGCGTGGAGGTTTGTGCGCCTCAGACCCTGCCCTGCCCAGCCTGCCATGGCAGAGGAGCTGCTGACTGCAGGAAGGCTGGCTTCTCTCTGCTTCTCTCGGAAGCTTGGGTGGGTGTTTTCCAGGCTAAGATAAAAATCAGTGTCATGCTCTGTCATCCCAAATCAGATCTCCTCTCTCCTTCCTCTTTCCCCCGATTAACCTCTCTTCGTTACACATCTCTTAAGCTGTTTTGTATTTGTTTCTCTTTGCTGTAAGACCCCTTTGCCTTCATGTTGTTCTGAGTCACACACTTGAAGGTTTTGATTGTAATGATGGTGCAGTGATCATAAAAGGCTCAGGCAGGCTCACAGATAGGCTCATCATGAACCTACTCACAAAATCAAGGTTTAGGCCTCTTCCACTAAAACCTCAGGGCTGATTTTGGACTAAGCAGATCCAAGGTGCATTTGTTCTTGTTCAAGAGTGATCACATCTAGTCAAATTCCTGAGGAATGGATGCCTGTAGTATTCACACAGGTGGAAATCCCTTCAGAGGGCAAGTGGTGGGACTTAAAGTTGGAATATACATTTGGTTCTGCAAACAGAATTTCACAAAAAATTATGTAGTATGTCATGGGAATGTATGCCTATATTAACACAGCTGAATTAGGCTTTTTCACATACAAAGCCACGTTAAAACAGCACTGTCACACTAGGAGGTATGCAGAGGACACCTGATAGATCTGTACTCCAAAAATTGGACAGAATCTGTGAGGACAGCCCTTCCTTTATGCAGAGTAGTTGAGGGGAGGGGAGAAGAGAAAACAGAGCTATTCAGTCTGCCAAAAAATGTAAGGTTTTTATCCTAAACATTTTTGACAACTGTGTTCCCAGGAATTTGGTATAATGCCTTGTACCCTTCTTTCTTGATCTGACATACAACCAATTGTATAATTTAAATGGCATAAAAGTCAATGGCTTGATATAGTACATTTTAATCACTTATTTAAGTTCCAAAAATGCAGCCTCTGAAATATAAAAAGCTTCCTGCAAAGCTCGTTGGAGTCAGCA